TATGGTAATTTTAAAAAGGACACTGCGGTGTTGGCTGATTTTGTTAAAAAGGCAGACTTTGAAAGTAGTCTAAAAGATGTTTTAGATGAAATCAAGGCTGGGAATTATTTGGAGAGGTTTGGCGAGATTCTCCAGGAAGTGAAGGAAATGAAGGAAGTCATCAATGCGTTGATGAGGTTGAGCAGAAATTCTGGGAAGGGCCTTAAATGTGAACAGAGTAGTAATAATGGTAAAAATAGTTACAAGGAAAATAATGGGGTGTCGGTAAATAAAAAATTTGAGGAAATTATCATTTGCTATCGTTGCGGATGGAGAGGACATAAAAGGGATACCTGCGTGGTCCCAGAGCATAGGTTTAAAGATGGATTTCCGTTAAAGAAATCTGAAATAGGAAGTGCTAATGTAAAAATGGTTAGTTTAAACGGGGTCAGATTATGTTTTAAATTTAAAGTGCCGGGACATGTAGCTGTGGACTGCATGGAGGTATCTCAAAATTCGTGTTGACTATATAATTGCAAGGTGAATCATGTAGGAGTCGGGGCTCCGAGAGGTCGGAAAAATTTGTATAATAAAACATTTAATATTGTTAATCGAGATAATGGGAATAGTAGAATGAAAATAAGAAGTCATTCTCGTAATTTCCCTGAGAGGGGGGTTAGTCGATTTAAGTGGGAACAATATTCGAGAAATATTGTCCGTTATTCTCTTAGAAAGGATGTTAGGAATTTTATTTGGGAAAGATGTCCCACAAATCTTGTTAAAAGAAATGTAATTGTCAGTAATAAGAATTTAAATTCCGAGTTGAATTTAAGGGGCAATGTGAATGCCAATGAAATTATTATTTTAGATAAAATAAACGCTGATTCTCCGATTAAAACATATGATATTTTTATGACGGAAAGATTAGATGGACCATGTATGTGTCCGAAGGTTAATTTGAAGATTGGCAATAAGAATATAATATGTTATTTGACACCGTAGCTAGTATTTCTCTAATGTCGCAGAAGAATTTTTATAAGTATTGGCCTGGGGGTAGACTTGAAAAAGAGGCTATGTGCGTCAGGCAATTTGATGGGTCGGAAGTTGCTATGTTGGGAAAGGCCAAATTGGGAGTTAATCTTAACGATACTATGTTTTTTCTTGATTTATGGGTAGTAAAGGAAAATGTTGAGACTGTTATGGGTTGGGATTGGATTACCAAGCTTGGTCCTCCTAATAATTATTGGAATATTTTTAATATTAGTGATAATGTAATAACGGATGTTGAAGAGAATGGAAATTTGGATAATACCGGTAATAAAATTTGTGAAATTTCGGAGGAGATGATGGAGAAATCGAGTAAGTCGAATTTTAATGATGAGATAAATGAGAAGCAAATTTTGGTTGGGGGGAAAAGAGGATTGGGGCAAAGTTAAGCAAGCTATTCCTGTTCTAGTGAGGCAGTATGGCATCATTTTTGATGAAAAATTAGGTTGTTTGAATGATTATCAAGTTGATGTTCAACTTAGGGAGGGATTTTCACCGATCTTTTTGGCTTGTCGGCGAGTTCCTTTCGAATGGAGTAAGGAGATCGATGAGGAATTAGATAGATGGGTGAAGGATGGCATTATTATTCCTGTGGGATATAGCGAATGGGCAACCCCGTTAGTGCCAGTTAGAAAAGCAAATGGTAAATTGAGACTTTGTGCGGATTTCAGGGTCACGGTAAATCTATGGGTAGTGGAGGTAAAATATCCGTTGCCTCGGATTGAAGAGATTTTGGCTCAGTTAAAGGGGGCTAAATATTTTTCAAAGGTTGATTTTTCTTCAGCATATTTACAGTTACCATTGAAGGAAAAAATTCGTAAATTATTGACGATAACGACGCCAAAGGGGTTATTTGCTTTTTGTAGATTACCGTTCGGGTTGAGCGTATCGGCTCCCATTTTTCAACGTACCATGGCGTCCGTTTTCCAGGGAATGGAAGGGGTCTTTTACTATATGGATGATGTGTTAATTACCGGCGTGACGCCGGAGCAGCATAATCAACGTTTGGAAGAAGTGTTTAGGAGAATTTGTGACAAGGGCTTGAGAGCTAGTAAGGAGAAAAGCGTTCTGGGCGTAACGGAGATAGAGTATTTAGGGCATCGAATAAATGGTATTGAGGTGAAACCCCTTGATAAAAATTTGAAAAATATAACAAATATGAAGCAGCCGAATAATAAGGCGGAGGTACAGTCGTTCCTGGGAATGGTAAATTATTATCATCGTTTTGTGGAGGATTTCGCCAAGTTGGCAGCGCCGTTATATGAATTACTGAAGAAGGGAACTCATTTTGAGTGGAAAAGTGAACAGCAATTAGCTTTCGAAGTTTTAAAGGAAAAGATTGGAAAGGAACCAATTTTGGTGTGTTTTAATAACGACTGGGAGATCATATTGGCGGTTGATGCCTCGAGTAAAGGGGTTGGAGGGGCGTTGTTGCATTTAGTGGAGGGCTTGGAAAGACCTATTATATTTTTCTCACGTGTTTTTCGTGAGATGGAGACCAGGTATTCTGTGATTGAACAGGAGGCCCTGGCAGTGATTTTCGGTTTGACAAAATACCGTGAGTATTTGATTGGTAAAAGATTTTTAATTTTTACTGATCACAAACCGTTAATTCACTTATTTCGGAAAGATAACCGTGAGTTGATGATGTCCCCCCGGTTGCAACGGTGGTTGTTGCTGGTGGGCAGTTTTAATGTGGAAATTCGATATCGCCGTGGCAAAGAAAATTGTTTGCCGGATATTTTATCGCGATTAGGGTTGGATGAGGGAAGGTGTGAGTTGAAGGAGGATAGGGTCGAGGACATTGAGAAGGCCCTGGTTTGTTCGCTTTCGCATATGCTCAAAAGGAGTCCTACCAATTGGGAGGATCTTAAGTTGAGTACATTGAGAGATAGAGAAATGACTAGGGTAAAATTATGTGTAATGGGGAAAAAGCCTTTGGAAGATGATTGTAAAGTTTTTAAGAAGGTGGAAGAGGAATTGTCTGTGGTGGATGATTGCCTAATGAGGGGTAGTCGAGCCGTAATTCCGATCAAATTACGGGGTAAAATTTTAAATTTGTTACATGCCGGACATCAGGGTCAGGGGAAGATGAAATCGTGGGCTCGTGAGTATGCTTGGTGGCCTATGGGAAAGGATATTGAAAATATCACAAGGAAATGTGTGCCGTGTAATTCGTGCGCGGCGATGCCCCGAAAGGAGGTGGGCCAGATATGGCCCAGGTCGAGGAAACTATGGGAACGCTTACACGTTGATTTTTTCGATTTAGATAAAAGGTCGTATTTTTTAATGGTAGATTCGTATTCGAAATGGATAGAGTACGAGGAGGTACATGGGTATACCACGAAAATTGTTGTACGGAAATTGAGGGCATTAATAGCCAGGTTCGGATTGCCTGATACAATTGTATCTGATGGAGGACCTGCCTTTGTTAGAGAGAATTTCAAGCAGTTTTGTAAGGAGTCTAGGATTCGACACATTTTGACCCCGCCCTATCATCCCAGCTCAAATGGTCAAGCTGAGAGTATGGTAGCAGTGGTAAAAAATTGGATAAGGAAGGCCGGCAATCACAGGGATGGGGCGTATTTGGCCCAACTGTATTACTTTAATTCCAGGAATAAGGAGGGAATGACACCCGAATTGTTTTTGGGCAGGAGGACTAGAGTTCCCCTAGATTTTCTAAGGGCTGAGAGTCACGGGAATTCTGGAGGACCGAAAAATTAGGTTTGGAGTTGGAGAAAAAGTATGGACTCGTCTGTTTGACGGGAGGGGCAGGAAATTGGCCAATGGCATTGTTGGGGAAAACAGAGGTTCGAAGTTGAATTTGATTCAGTTGGAAATGGGCGGCACAGTTATGCGCCACAACGATCATATACGACTCCGGGAATAGGCATTAGGTAGCTTAGATGCCAAATACAAATATGAAAATATATATAGAAACAAAATGAAGGTGCATCCCGAAGGATTAGACTCGTTTCCGAGCCGATATAAAATGTAATTATGTGATAAATGAAGATTTGGGTAATGTATCGTAAGTGGGAATGGGAAGTTAAAGGGATCAAATAGAAGAGGGGCTCATCTTAAATTGGTAAATATATATATTTATGCAAAGATAAGGCATAAACGGGAAATAAAATGTACGTGAACTGTTGGTAACCTTTTTGGTTTTGGTTTATTTATTATTACATGATGGTATTAAGATGTATTTGTAAAGGAAAAAGTTGATATTCATTGAGGTTACCAGTTGTTAGTCATAAATAAAAGTTGAAATGTAATTTAAAATTAAAATGGAAAGTTGTGGTATATTATATTGTTAATGATTAAAAGGGAATCATGTATTGAGTTAGAGAAACCGATTTGATATTTTTATTACTTATTTGTGGTGGTTTTCATCTTTGGCAGGCCGCAAGAAGATAATGAAAGGGGAGAAATATTTTTGGTAATGTGAGATAAGAGCGTGCACGTGTTTTTTTTTAAAATTAAATATTTTAATGTTGTTTAGTCATTAATAAAAGTAGAATAAAGATTGGATATGCGATGGAAGGTTTGTTGTAAAGGGAAGATAAAAACATTTTTTTTATATGTTTTTGTGTGTTATAAGAGAAATATTGATTTTCTTGTTGCGGTATATTTTTTTTGTAAAAAAATGTTTTTTTTTCTATCTCTTTGTTTTTTTATAATGGTCTATTCATTCTCAGTCAGCCCGTAAAAGGGAATGTCAAATGTTGTTATTAAAATAAAATGAAAAGGGAGTCAGGTTTGTGGATGCCTGGTTGAGGTTATAATTACAAACTTTATAATTATAAACTTTATAATTACAAACTTTAATTGATAAAAGTTTTTTTTAATGTTGTTTATAAATACATTTATATTATTTATATTGTAAACGTAATTTTATATTTTTTTTTTCTTCGAAGTTTGTAAAAATTCAAATTAAAAAATTAATTATCAATCAAAATGGAAACTACATCTAGGCTTGTTGATCTTGGCGAATTCTACTTACAGGTGACGTTAATAAAAAAAAACAATGGAATGACCTTAGAAACGGGATCCTCCAACGAGAATCAGCGAACGATCCCTGAAATGCGACGCCGAAGGTGTTACAATTGCCAGGAGGTGGGACACCTGCGGCTTCAGTGTTCTCGGCCATCCCGGGGGGCTCGCGTACCCTTAGAAGTGCTATCCGAAAACCCGCGAGTGGGAATCAACGAAGGACGAAAACGCTCGCATCACGATTTAGAGGTGGGACAGCCAATAGACCCAATTCCCTCGGATAGACATTCTCTCAATATTCGCCATTTTGACGCTCGAGGTCAGACCCTGAATGGATCCCGAGGTCCGAGTGTGGAGGATATATTGCAGAGAGCGGTGACCACTACGCTAACTACTGGTGTTCCACAGACGGCGGGCACTGAGGATTTTTGGGTCAGCCCCATGTCTGTTTAAGAAAGTTATGTGTAAAAATATTCTCGAAATAATATTGTAAGTTTTTTTTATAGATTATTTTTGTTTTATATCCGACGATATGCCATGAGCCCATAAAGGGGTGGCATGTCGTATTTGAATATACGAATACATTTATTTTTTTACGCGAAATGCCAATCAACCGATTCAAATAAGGTTGATTGGATATAAAAATTAAATGTAATAATATTTTTTTTTATTATTCATTAATTTTTTAATATGAAAATTACGAAAAGCAGTTTTAATTAATTTTTTTCCTATGAAATTTTGAAGATATTTGTTTTTGTTTGAAATTATTAATAAAGAAATTATTTGTGTAATTTTAATGTGTTTAATTAAATCTATATTTAGAGCATTGATTAGTTTTTTTTATTTAGTTCTCTAGTTTGTCAGTTATATTTCTTTCCTGTTTTCTGATTTTTTGGAATTTCGTATAATCTTTGACAGTTTTTTTTGGTATCGAGGCTAGTTATTTTTTAATATGTTTCGCTATATTGTCTTCGTGATATGGGTTTCGCGATAATGGCTTTGTTATATAATTTCGCGATTATTGATTAATTCACATTTGTATATGTTTGTTTCAATTATTTTGTATATGTTTGTTTCAATTATTTGTTCATATTGAAGATGTTAATATACTTTCAATAATATATTTTATAAAAATAAGAAAAAATTCAGATCCACTTTCATAAAAATAAATTTTAATTTCCGATTCGCACCTCATAAAGATATGCGAATTTTTTATTTACATCATCATATAAATATATACAATCATCAAATGAAGTATGATTCCCCGTAATTCTTAACGGGTTATCTGCTCATATTTAAGATAATTGTAAAAATGCAAAATTTGCAATAAAATGCTGAATATATGCAGGGCTCTAGTTGAAATGCATAGTTTTTGAAAATTATTTTTACAGTTTTTTAATCAAGATGCGCAGTTTTTTTATACTAATAAAAATTTTATAAAATCGTTATAGAAATGTTTTTTAAAATAATTTACTTGTCCAATTTTAACATTAATATTATTGTTTACTAAGTTCAGGAGCCAGTTTGGCATAATTTTTTTTCTGAGACCCACTTGTACCTTGGGAAATAGATTAGAGGTAAAGTTTAGCAGATATAGATTAGGGTTAATTTTTATCATAATAATGTACGTATTATATCATTATTTTATTGGGTTATAAAAACACAAAAAAACTGATTTTTTTTAAAAAAACTGATTTTTTTTAAAAAAATCTACACTTTGAATAAAATATTGCGCAGTCATTAATTTGTAACCATAAAACGAATTATATAATATTTGATTCGATAAATTTTATGATATAAATCAAAATTTGAAACGAAATCGGATGGACTGTTGGAATTTAAAGATAGGTGATTAGTAGTGATGTTAAAAGTTACTTTTGAAACATAACTAGTTACAGTTACTAGTTACATTGGCAAAAACATAACTAGTTACAGTTACTAGTTACATTGGCAAAAACATAACTAGTTACTAGTTACATTTTTACAAAAGTAACTAGTTATTAGTTACAGTTATTTTTAAAAGTAACTAGTTACTTACTTTATACATCCTTCAGATGCGCATTATTTATTTATTAAATGCATTTATTTAATATAAAAAAAATTAGGATAAACAAAGTATAATCAGTTATTTAAAATAATATACTTTTTATTTATATAAAAAAATATCGCAAAATTGAATATTTACATCGAATATAAAAATATATATTTGCATTGAAAAAAAAAACATTTATTTTTCATAAAAATTAGAATCTAATAAATGTTTATTTGCTTTTAACAACAAATTAATTTCAAAGTTATTATCTAGGAGACGTGCTCGTTTATCTCCAAAGATGAGCTTACCTAGACTGAATAAGCGCTCTACGGGAGCACTTGATGTTAGAACAACATTATATTTAATAAAGAGTAATTTTAACTTTGGAAAATCGTTATATAAAGATAAAGTGTTGTTATTAGATTTGATAAAGTTTTCTATAAGTTCATTATCCAGAATATTTTGGCGCTTTAGGTCAAAAAATTCAACTACATCAAGTGATGTTGGTTTTGAGCATGATTCATTCGTCTGGGATTCACTTTATTTATTAAGGTATTTATTAAATTTAAAATTTCCTCCTTTTTTGCTTTATTACTTTCTTGCTTAATCCAAGGCCAGTCAGTTTTAAATAAAGGATGAAGAATTGCAGCAATGATGTTGTCATTATCATAAAGATTATTAAACCTATAACATGATATTATTAATTTATAAATAATTATTTGATTTTAGTTACCTTTTTTCAATACTAGCTAATATAGTATCCTTTAGAGGTTGACAATATTTTAATCCCTGCACATCTGCCATACATATATTTGTATTATTGTTGGGAATAATCAGACATTTTCACAAAATTTTAAATTAATAAATTTAATTTAAAAAATAAATTTAATTTAAAAAATAAATTTAATTTAAAATTAATTTATCACAACATATTAAAAATAAAATTAATTATTTGAATATATCTTTAAAAGTAACTAGTTACTTTTGGCAGTTACATTTCAAAATTTTTAACTAGTTACAGTTACTAGTTACAATTTTAAAAATATAACTAGTTACAGTTATTTTTTAGCCATAATGTAACTAGTTACAGGTAACTAGCTACTTGTAACTAGTTACAGGTAACTAGCTACTTGTAACTAGTTACCTTAACATCACTAGTGATTAGGGTGCACCAAAAACGCCCTAGGTATACAGCTTCGGATTTGATACTAACAACTCCTGCTTTTTACTTCTTTAAAAATGAACATATAATTTGTAATGTATTGTTAGTAATAGAAATATAGGTCAATTAATAATTCTTGCAATTCTTTTTCTTTTATTTCATATCAAAATAATATGTTCATTTTCTATTATTCAAATTCATATGATAATATAATAATGAAAATAAACATTTTACAAAAAATACAAAAATAACAATTCAATACATATCATAATTAATATTGTATAAAATATTTAGGGGTATTGATTTGCGAGGCTGGCTGTATACTCAAGCATCTGGATGATCATTTGTCCCAGCATGGTTTGATAATGCCAATAGATTTAGGAGCCAAAGATAGTTGTCAAATTGGTGGAAATTTAGCTACAAATGCAGGTGGTTTGAGGCTTTTGAAATATGGATCTCTTAGGGGCACTGTATTGGGATTAGAAGCAGTATATATTATAATATTAAATATTTAATTAAAATTAATTATAAGTATTTGCAATCAATTTTAATAAAGAAATTATGATTTAATAAGGTTTTAGTTTTCGCTTTATAAATAAGCATTTTATTAATTTAGTTTTTGATATCACAATATAAAAAAAATTGAATCACTGATTGTGTTATACGCTAGCGATGTCTTGAGCATTAATCTAAAAAATCGAACAAAAGCCTCGAGTCCAGGAAACAATCCTGAACCGGGTTTAAATCCCCTGCCTGAAGTTTAGCATGAAAATTTTTTAAATTTTCAATTAGAGCCCCCGAAAAAGTTTTTTTTTTCGAATATTTTAATTATCATAAAATAATTTAAAGTATTCTAATCCTCTTGATGTAATATAATAATAAATAACCATCAACCTATTTCTTTCAATTCAAATTATACTTTTACATTCAACTCATTCAAAAATTATATAGGCATGATTTTCTTATATTCCTATTGGATTCCCTTATGTCTAAAATTGAGAACACCTATTAATCAAATTTCCTTAAATTCATAATATTTCAGAGTTTATCATATTTTGTCGATAATATCGGTCCATCACCAATAATCACAGATTCGATTATATATCTTCTCACTCCTAGAATGTATCATATATGATAGATACATTAATAGTGCTTATAAATCAGTGTCCTTCATGGGCCTTAATATTTTGATCAAGCCCAGCCCAGGCCGCAATAAAATATTCTGAGGCCGGCCCAGCTCAACTCTTTTTAAAAAATTTAATTTATTGTATTTTCATAAAAATCAGAGACCTTGCAGAGGTACCATTTGCACGACCTGCCCCGATCTCTTTTACAAAAAATTTTTTAGCACGGTCCGGATTTTTTAAAATATTTTACATTCATTTTTACTGCAGGTCTCTGATAAAAAAAACAATTTTTAAGTGTATTTAGGCAATCATTTTGTTTATAGTATTGCAATTTATTATTAGGAAAATATTACAATATTTTTTAAGCTGGTAACTTTTAAATAAAGTAAATCGAAATAGAAAATTTTTAGATCAAGCTCGGCCCAAGCCCATTATAAAAATTTCAAGAACCTGGGTCCGGCTTAGGCCCGCTAGAAATATAATATGGGTTGGCCCGGCTCATGATCTGTTACCAATTGAGCAAAAGCGTTTAACATTGTATTTTTCTATAAAATGCTTCGTTGCTTAAATTAAAGAGAATTTTTTTTAGATGTTAAAAACAAACTATTTACATAACGCATAAAAACGCTAACGTTTACCAATTTGCACGTTGCCGTTTAAAAATATTTTTTGAAATAATACGCAAAATAAAAACGCTTCAATTTTTAAGAACTTTTAAGATTAAAATTTAATTATTAAATGACTGAAAATTTTTTATAACCCACAAGATTTTATAATAGGTTTTACCTAGTGGCCAAATCATTGATTGTATGAACACCATGCGGAAAGATAACACAGGTTACGATTTGAAGCAACTCTTCATAGGCTCGGAAGGTACCTTAGGGATAATTACGAAAGTTTGTATTCATTGCCCTCCACGGCCCAAAGATACTAATGTCGCATTTTTTGGTTTACATTTATATTTATGAGGCTTAATTTCAGTATTATTCTTTAATTATAAATGTATATTACTACAGCTTGACAATAAATGCACATATCAACTTATCAATTTTATTTTGTGTAATTATTGGTTTTATTTTATTAATGGCAATAAATGAAAATGATATACTGGGTTGAATCATTTTTTTATGGTAGGTTGAGCTTGCTGGTTTCCTCTGCTAATTTAGATATAATTGATATTTGTATAAACTTAAAGAACCTCTAATTTTTAATAAAAATAAAATAATATAAAATTATCATACTTTAATATGTTTAATAAATTTGTAGAGCAGTTTGTTGAACACTTTATCATTTTTTTTGTACAGGTTAAAATGTCAAAAGATACAAAAAGATCTTGTATCTTAAATACAAGTATTGGCGGTACTGCCCAAGTCTGTTCACACATAATTTAGCATGGAATTTGATTAATGAGATCTATAATTTTATGATTAAAATCTTATTCCTTACTTAATATATCCCAAAATTTAAAAGGTATAAGTAATATTTATTTATCATCCCAAATACAGGCTGTGATACATTCGAGGAAGTTATCGAGGCTTACAAACATGCCAAAGAGTTGTTGGGGGAAACCCTATCTGCTTTCGAGTTTATGGATAAGGGTAAATAGATGAATGATATTTTATTATATAGTTATACACACTTAGTAAAAGTAAAACTTATATCGTTCTTTTTCCGGTATATACAGGTTATCACATGATTCCCTAAGATATTTTATGCATTGGTCACTTTTCAAGACATTTAACGATTGAAATTAAAATTAACAATCAATTTGTTTTAAAAATAATGTAATATCTACTATTTTTATCAACAGCCAGTAGCGTATTTAGAGTGGAATCTAGGAAAATAATTCCCCGGAAAAAAAATCCGAGGAAAATAGTTCCTGTTATGGTCTTATCCGGAACCTAATTTTAGTGGAATAGCAAAACAATTATTATAAAAGAAACTTATTCTCCCTAACCTAAATTATCTGTAGATATCTAGTTTCTTTAAACAAAATATTATCGTAAGTTAAGATTTAATTGTATAATAGTCCTTCCCAGATATTTCATTTTTTTAAAATTTTTAAGATGTATTCTTAAAATTATACCATTTATTGGCCCTGACCAGCAGGTCTGTGCTTTAAATAAATCTAAATCTGAAATTTGTTTTTTTTATCATTCCTCTATGTTTCAAGTAATTAAAAGAAAATTAAATAAATTTTTTTCTCCTTTAAACATTTTTCCCAGTTTTTAAATATTTATTGGAAAGAAGAAATTTTATAAAAATACCTTTTATCAGTTTTATTCTTTTGAAAAATATTCATTTTTACAATTTTACAAATTTTTAGAACCTAGTTTTTTTTTAAAGATAGGAAATTTATCATTTCGAAGAAGTTTTTTTTAAATATCCAATTGGGAGATTTTAATTGAGGATTTTCACAAATTGCCTTTAAAAAATGTTTTTTTTTCAATTAGCTGGAAAATAATATGGATTCATTTAACATAAATTTACTCCTCTTATTCTCAATTCCCATTTATAAAATAGTTATCCCTATAATTTTTTATCTAAGAATTGTAAAAATAATCTATTGTGATCGTCATTTTCATCGTACACACTCCATCTTAATTTGGTGTCACTTTTTCTATCATAATATCAAAAATCTATTTAATAATATCATAGCTACCACCATATTTATCGTGTCTTATATATTTAAATTAACCTATTTAATCTCTCAGAATTAAAACCAAAACACTCCTTAAACTTTGAGAATAATCAAAGCTCAGAAAAAATACTGAATGTCAGGAATTTTCTTCATGGTCAGATATAAATCGGAATTGCCCAGAAAATGGATATTCAGCTTAAAAGATAAATTGTTCAGAAAAATATATGAAAGAATCAAATAATTTTTTCTATTGATAGAAAATAGCCACTATTAACAATCATGGGGGTATTGCTTTCTCCTCTTTTCCCGATATTGAATTCTTATAAACTCGCTATATATGATTTGTTTTCTTCGCGATTTGGGTCTCGCTTTCTCTATAAGATTTTCGCTATTATATATTGGCGATAAAAGTTATATGTTGATCTCGGTAAAAGTTCTGTTATAAAAAATTTTCGATATGGTCTTCGCTGAATAGCATGCTAATATGGATTCGCGACAAAAATTTATTCATAAAATCAATTCGATTTAATAAACATGCGCGATAAAAGTTTCGCGAAAATGTGTTTTGGGATAAAAGTTTCGCTGTCTTAGGCTAATCAAATTTAAAAATGTATTGAGTTTTAAAAAAATCTTTATAGCAAAAATCTTTGAAGATTAATTTTTAATATGATTTCAACTTGAGAGATTTTTATGTATAGAAATTATAAAAGATTTAATAATATAAAGAACTTTTATAAAAATATTTTCAATTTTAAGTAAATTTTGATCAATCTATATCTTTAAAAAATTTTTTGCTCAAAATTTTTTTAAAGATTAAAACAATGAAAATTTTAAAAATAAGTTTAAAATTATTTGACCAAGATATCCATTACTTTTGAATATTTTTAAAAATAAAGATAACCCCCTCTTTGTTTTCATTGAAATCTTAATATAGTAATATGATATTTATATATTTACTTGTTTTCTTCAAAATAAAGTTTAAAAATAATAATTATCACTATTGTCATTTTTCTATATTTCATTTTCACTGAAATCATATAACATATTTATATTTATTTTCACCAATTTGCTAAATTAAAAATAATTACATCTTAAATAATACATCTTTACTGAGTATTTTAAGAAATATTTTCATTTTTTTGGTGGCGGGATTATTTTTGATATTAAAAAAATTATTATAAGGAAATTTTTTTCCGGGGAATTATTTTTCACTCTATATTTTTTTAAATCGAAAAATGGGGAAAATTTTTTTTCGGGTATATTTTTGGGAGAATTTTTTTACGGGTTATTTTTTCTAAAGGATTGTTTTCCGCTTATCTTTAGAGTATACTTTTGTCACATAAATTTTTCCCAATTTTACTAAAAATTTAAATGGGATTTTCATATTAAAATATAAATATTAGTGTGTAATTTATTTTTTCTGACTCCCCCTCCGAGGCAAAATCATATATATGTCACGGCTAACACTATACCATGCCTTTTGTTTATATGATCATATTTGGTGTGAAGCTTTTTGAATTTATATGTAGGTAATAAATAGAAACCAACATACAATATATCATAAAAAGAATTTTAATAATTGGCAAATGACTCTGTAATATTAAGCATAATTTAGGTAATATTAAGCATAATTTAGGTAATATTAAGCATAATTTAGGTAATATTAAGCATAATATTATATATTTATTACAATTCACTTCTAATCAGAGATTGAAATATTCTTAATAATAAAAAATCTTAAAAGATTTTTGATCTCTGAGGAATTTTTGAAAATGCTATAATATTGATTTTTGATAAAATTTTCCAATTTAAAAAAAATTTGTGACGATTTTTTTCCAAACTCTGCTTCTTAGTTGAATGTAGTGTTGTTAAAGTAAGTAGTTACATTTTTGTGACTAGTTATATTTTTTGAAATGTAACTGCTAAAAGTTATTACTTTTAAAATATGTGTGTATAAATCTAAATAATATATTCAAATAATTAAATTTAAAATTAAATTTATTATTGTTTAAATGTCTGATTGTGTTCGCAAAGGATATGCAACAATAATATAATTTCCCGTCCAAATAAATTTTCTTTTCTTAAATTGTAACATTGCTGGGTTTCATAATTTTTGGATTGATGATGCTATGTGGCTAAATTAGATAGGCGTTCAGCTATTTTAGCCTGCCATAGACCAAAGTAAGCATACATATGATATAATCAACAAAACCTTAACAGCTGTTTTTAAGGATTTCCACATCCAAAATAAAAATATCTGCACAATAACAGATAATGCAAGCAATTTTTCAAAGCCTTTCGTATACCTAACTAATTTACTTTATATATTATATTTATCTTAAAATATTTAGCTCCCTATTTTCTTTAACAGAGGAAAATAATGATTCAGATATTCAATACCTCAATAGAAAATATAATGTCTTCATCTGGGCTAACCAATTATGATATTAATGACTTCGACTACCTTTCCATGTCATCGAAAATGTTCTTATCATACATTAAACTTAGTGGCAACACAAGATGCCAACAAAATACTTTTAAACAATGAGGAGTATAAGAAAGTGTATTTTGTTATACCTAAATGCCAACGTTTATGGAACTTACAAAACAAATCTAGGCCATCAGACGAACTAATTAAAAAGAGATTACATTCTCATCTGCTTATCCCGTTATAACAAGATGGGGTTTCTTTTATAATCTCTGGCCAAAATATTATCATTTTTAAATGAAGTGCCTATGGAATTTGATTTAATGTGATGAATTAAAATTGTATAGATTCACATCACATGATCTTGATTTTATAAAAGAATATTGCGGTGTAAATTTAAATTAATGTCTTTTAAAAAATTTACAATTTAAAAATTAGATTATGCAACCAGTGGCTAAAGTTATTGATATACTCGAAGATAAAAAATACATATGTCTGGGCTATTAATACCCCATCAATAATACAGATACTTATATATCTGGAAGATGTGCAAGGATTAAAATATCGTCAATAAAGGTTATATTTGCTAGTATTAAAAAAAGGTAACTAAATTAAATAATTATTTATAAAATAATAATATAATGTTATAGGAATGATATGATAAAATTATTGCTGCAATTCTTCATTCATTATTTAAAACTGACTGGTCTTGAATAAAGAAAGGAATAGAGCAAAAAAGAAGGAAATTAATAATCTAATACCTCAAGGCGAATCTCAGACAAATGAATCATACTTGAAATCAACATCATTTGATGTAGTTGGATTTTTTGAACTAAAGCGACAAAATATTGTTTATAATGAACTTATAGAAAATTTTATAAAATCCACTAATAATACATTATCTTTATATGATGATTTCCCAAATTTAAAATTACTTTTTATTAAATATAATGTTATCCTTACATCAAGTGCTCCCGTACGTTTATTCAGTCTAGGGAAGCTCATTTTTGGAGAGAAACTAGCGCGTCTCTTAGATAAAAATTTTGAAATCAATTTGTTGTTAAAAACAGATAAACTTTTATTAAATTCTAATTTTTATGAAATATAAATATATGTTTTTTTTCAATGCAAATATATATATGATATATTTATTTTTATTTCAATGTAAATATAAATATATTCTATTTTCCGATATTTTTTTCCCGGTTTGATTATTTTTTTATATAAATAAATTGTATATTTTTTTAAATAATTGATTATAATTTGTATATCCTAATTTTTTTATATTAAATAAATGCGTTCAGTAAATAAAGAATATGCGTTATATGAATGATGTATAAAGTAATTTATAATGTAACTAGTTACCTTTGAAATATAATTGTAACTAGTTATATTTTTACCAATGTAACTATTAACTTTAACTAGTTATATGTCAAAAGTAACTTTTAACAACTAGTTGAATGAAATGGCCCAAAACGCAAAACCTGCAATATTTTATGAAGGTGGTGGGAGGAACCTCATAATACTCCCTCTCCTGGTTACAGTCCCGGAATACATGAACACTTAAAAAAATAATTGAGCCTTAAAAATGGATAGATAAGTATATTTAGTTCATATTTATAAGTATTCTCGACAGATATCTTTGTATTACCTTTAACATAGTATATTAGTAGTAATTTAACCAAATAATATATTTCTTCGGTGTATTTTATCATAAAATCTTATTATTTTTGTGTATGCAAATTCACAAGATAATGCTAAAATAATAAAAATAAACATTTTACAAAAATAATAAAATAAACAATTTAATACATAACAGATATTATGATATCCGGGCATGACTAGAATACTCGTCCCCGATAATTACGCGTCCCCGGTCAAACGGGTTTAATTTATATAATATTAATAAAAAATCTTATTTAGCTTTATAAGATGAGTTAAAAAATGTTTTTTATGATTTAAAAAAAAATGATAACTTAGTAAATTTTTTAAAAAATGATTTTTTTACATGAAAAAACACGCGTCCCCGGTCAAGATACAATTTTTTTTAAAAAATAAAAGCAGATTCATATTTAGCTCATTAAATGAATATAGAAAATGTTTTTTATGATTTAAAAAAAAATGATAACTTAGTAAAATTTTTAAAAAATTATTTTTTTAAATTAAAAACTACGCGTCCCCGGTCAAGATACATTTTTTTAAAAAAAATAAAAGTAGATTCATATTTAGCTCATTAAATGGATACAGAAAATGTTTTTTTTTAATTTAAAAAAAAAGTGGTAACCTAGTTAAATTTTGAAAAAACTTTTCTTCATTTTTTGACTAAAATACGCGTCCCCGGTCAAGATAGATTATTTTTATAAAAATGAATATAGAATCGTGTATAGTTTTTCAAGGAGATTCCGAAAATGGTATTAATAATTTTTTTTTTTTTAAAAAAATTAATTTTCGAAAATATTTTTTTTGACTAAACTACGCGTCCCCGGTCAAGATACATTTTTTTTTAAATAAAAGGAGATTCACATTTAGCTCATTAAATGGATACATAAAATGTTTTTTTTGATTTAAAAAAATGTGGTAACTTAGTTAAATTTTGAAAAAACACTTTTTTTCTTCATTTTTTGACTAAAATACGCGTCCCCGGTCAAGATAGATTATTTTTATAAAAATGAATATAGAATCGTATATAGTTTTTCAAGGAGATTCCGAAAATGGTATTTATAATTTTTTTTTTAAAAATTATTTTTCGAACCGGGGGACGCGTATTTTAGTCAAAAAATGAAAAAGAAAAGTGTTTTTTCAAAATTTTACTGAGTTATCACTTTTTTTTAAATATAAAAAAAACATTTTATATATCCATTAAATGAGCTAAATATGAATCTGCTTTTATTTTTTTTAAAAAAAATGTATCTTGACCTGGGACGCGTAGTTTAGTCAAAAAAAAAATTTTTCGAAAAATAATTAAAAAAAAAAAAAATTATAAATACCATTTTCGGAATCTCCCTGAAAAACTATACACGATTCTATATTCATTTTTATAAAAATAATCTATCTTGACTGGGGACGAATAGGGAGGCATATTTTAGTCAAAACATGAAGAAAAAAAGTGTTTTTTCAAAATTTTACTAAGTTATCACTTTTTTTTATTTGTGTATTCATTTAATGAGCTAAATATGAATCTGCTTTTATTTTTTTTTAAAAAAATGTATCTTGACCGGTTACGCGTAGGGACGCGTAGTTTAGTCAAAAAAAAATATTTTCGAAAATTAATTTTTAAAAAAAAAAAAAAAATTATTAATACCATTTTCGGAATCTCCTTGAAAAACTATACACGATTCTATATTCATTTTTATAAAAATAATCTATCTTGACCGGGGACGCGTAGGGACGCGTATTTTAGTCAAAAAATGAAGAAAATAAGTGTTTTTCCAAAATTTTACTAAGTTACCACTTTTTTTTAAATCAAAAAAACATTTTATGTATCCATTTAATGAGCTAAATATGAATCTGCTTTTATTAAAAAAAAATGTATCTTGACCGGTTACGCGGAGGGACGCGTAGTTTAGTCAAAAAATAATTATTATTAATACCATTTTCGGAATCTCCTTGAAAAACTATACACGATTCTATATTCATTTTTATAAAAATAATCTATCTTGACCGGGAACGCGTAGGGACGCGTATTTTAGTCAAAAAATGAAGAAAAAAAGTGATTTTTCAAAATTTTACTAAGTTATCACTTTTTTTTAAAATAAAAAAAAACATTTTCTGTATCCTTTTAATGAGCTAAATATGATCTGCTTTTATTTAAAAAAAAAATGTATCTTGACCGGGGACGCGTTGTTTTTTTATGTAAAAAATTAGTATTTTAAAAATTTTACTAAGTTACCACATTTTTTTTAAATAAAAAAAAACATTTTCTGTATCCATTTAATGAGCTAAATATGAATCTACTTTTATTTTTTTTAAAAAAATGTATTTTGACCCGGGTTTTTAATTTAAAAAAATAATTTTTTAAAAATTTTACTGTTATCATTTTTTTTAAATCATAAAAAACATTTTCTTTATTCATTTAATGAGCTAAATATGAATCTGCTTTTATTTTTTAAAAAAAATTGTATCTTGACCGGGGACCCGTGTTTTTTCATGTAAAAAAATCATTTTTTAAAAAATTTACTAAGTTATTATTTTTTTTTAAAATCATAAAAAACATTTTTTAACTCATCTTATAAAGCTAAATAAGATTTTTTATTAATATTATATAAATTAAACCCGTTTGACCGTTGACGCGTATTTTAGTCATACCCTGATATCCAATTTTAGATTAAAATATTAGGTATTCACATATTGGTAGCAATTTTAATTTTGTTTCAAATGAATTTTTGCATTTTTTATAGTGGTGCTTTCTACATCATCCAATCATTAAATTAAAAGTTAATTATTTTTATTAATCATGTAAATTCTCAAAGCCAAATAATCTAAAAAAACATATGTATTATTAAAAATTAAATTTCTTGTTTATTTTTTAAAATATTTTAAATGAAAAGCAGATATTTTTTTAAAATAATGTAAAACATAAAATGAAGAAAATTTAAAAAAGTTTGTTATTCATCCTATAATTTGGTTTGTTTTTAACCTTATTTGCTTTGTTTTCATTTCGAGGGTGTCATAAAACATATGATAGAATTATTTAAAATATTCAATGTAAGATTAGGAATTCAAATCCCAATTTTTTTTTGAATATGGTCATTTTGCAACAATAATGATTAAAAGTGATGGCAAATTCATGTTTTGAACCGAAAAATGGTATGATATTAAAAATCCGAACCGGGTTTAAAAATTCGTCGCCTTAGAATTTGAATAATCTATCTCTACTTTTTGTAATTTTACAGAAGAGCAATTTAAAAAATTAAAGGTTCTATTGTTTTCAATAGAATGGCTAACCTTGTATTGGATTTAATTTAGTTATTTTATAAATATTTCGGATTTTTTAATGTAATTATAATAGTATAATTATAAAAAAATCATTTTTGACAAGAAGTGGATATAGAATAACCTAATTCCCAGGCGACGAATTGCTCAAAAATTAACTTTAGTCCGGACCTATTAAAAAAAGTTGTAATTTTATAAATCAGTCAGAAAATGTTTGAAAAACATATAAAAGAGCGTTTAATATTCATTTTCTGCTGATATTTCTAATTTCCCTCTAGAACAATTTTAAAAGTTCCCAAACTGGACCACGAAATGAATAAAAATAGAAATCCGAGCCTGGCCAAAAGATTTCCCCAAAAAATTCAGGATCGGGCTTGAAAATGATTTTTTTCCATTTAATTTTATTATACGATTTGATTTTAAAAAGTTTCATGATTTGCCAACCCTATGCGATGATATAGTATTCCTACCTACCGTGTTTTGTTTTATTCAAAATAATAATATTGAAAGCCGAATTTAGCTTTAGGATTTCACTTAAATAGTTATTTTATGGTAAAAGGGATCAGATATTAATTTGTTTAATGGGGGTATATAACCTAGATACTACAAGAGATTAAACAATATGGATCATACAACCTATTTTTACATTATAAAATAATTGAATTATCTCATTACAAAACTATAAAAATCTTTATATATTCATACATACACACACACACACACCTCTCGTTGTTGGGGAAGAATGTATGGAAGCCGTGGTTAACACATTTGGCTACAAATATCCATTTTCTTCTACACCAAATCAATCAAATTTAGTTACGAGTTCCCACAATTCTATCTCACCTTACCATTTTTTGGTAGAAACCATCAAAACAAGTGATGAAAGATTTTACGAATGCGCAAGCATCATTAATTGCCCTCGAACTGTGGTGGCTAGGAATGAGAGTGAATCTAGCGATATCTGGAAACTCCGGGAAAATATATACCCGGCTCTTTGCCAATACAAAAATCCCGACTTATTCATCAGTTACGATGTTTCTTTGCCGCTCAAGTCCTGGCCTGAGCTTGTTCAGCGTCTTTACCAAGTTTCCCAAGACACATCTGTCCAGGGTTAGTTTAAAATCATTTTTCTAGTTTGACAGAGGAGGAAAACTGGGGGAGGGGAGGGTTAAGATGGGGAGATTTATTGTAAATTATTGATTAATTTTAAAATATTAAATAATTCTTAAGATTATAATCTTTTGCAAGTCCTAATATGGTGATTTTTATATATTTTTACGGAATAGACTAATTTATATTTATTTTAAAAGGTAGGCTAGGCTAATTTGTTTTATAAAATCAAGGTATTGTATTACTCTCATTTTCTTAGAATTTTTCATCCATTTTAGTCCTTTCTAAATTTATATTGCTGCCATTTAATATATTATATTATGCTTTTTGAATAATGCAGGGTGTAGAAAAGATGTTTATTTAGAATAGAATACGAAAGAACAATTTTTGAATAATAGTCGTGACTTATTAATTTTGAAATTTGTACAATTAATAGAGAAGTTTAAATGTATAAATCTTTATTTTTAGTTATCTCAAAAATTTATATCTTTTTTAATAAAAATAGCGTTAGTAATTTACAAAAAATATCTTTTATAATTTTAACAAAAAATATAAGATAGTTTTATCAAGATAAAATTAAGATCCTTTCAATTTTGAATAGATATAATAAAATATAAAATAAACTTTATACAAATAAAAATGCTAATAAATTTTTTAAATTATCATTTTATTGCCCTCTCCAGAATTTTAATTTTTCGTTATTTTAAATAATTTGTTGTAGGTATTTTGCAAATTGTTTCTAATGGAAATTGAAAATATTAGCATTAAATGATTCAATACATGATTTCCCATCTTATCAAACTATTTAGGGCCCACTCAAGGTCAGGCCTTCAGGTCTCTGATTTTTGTAGAATTAGAAGAGATTCAAATGTAAAAATATTTATTTTTTTAACAAAAAAATCTTTTATAATTTGAATAAAAAATATAAGATAGTTTTAAATAAATTAAGATCCATTCAATTTTGAATAGCCATAATAAAATATAAAATAACTACACAAAATTAAAAATAAACTAATATGAATATACAATAAGTTTTTTTATATTAACTATTCAACATTCTCCCTCTTCTAAGAAGCTTTCCCATAATTTCATGTAAGCTGTCGTCGAGAGCTTGTTGACATCGTTTTGGCTGTTCATGTTGTTGCATCAGTCAAATTTGTTATCGTTGGCTTGTATTTATCGCATTCGATTTCACACGTTGGTTTGTCCAATTCGTATTTATTATCCTATCATAAGTTGTCTTCATCAATCTTAACTTTCTCATATAAGCTTGCTTGTGGTACTCGGTTGTTATTATTAACAATTTTCAAAATTGTTATCATCATCAATAAGTCTTGAATAATTAGGAATAATAATTGATGAAATTGGATATTAGAATAAGTGAAATATCGGAATAATATATGAATTTGTAATAATATATAGAATATAATTAATTTGAATAATCGAATGTTGGAATGACAAATCAACAAGATTATTATATAATATTTTTAACATTTAATTTATTTTTCGCGTTTTAGTGTCCAATCTTTTATTTATAAATTAAGTTATATAATCTTTTAAATAAGCAGGTTTTTGTTTAATACATGTTAGCCTAGAAATCGGTATTACTTTATCTTTATTTATGGTATTTTTATTTGTGTCCACACTTCCTTCCTTAAAAGAATTTTTAGAGTTAGACTCATAATTCACACTCTCTTTTTCTTATTTGGTCTAAATGTCTCCTTAATATACCTTTATCTCTCTTAACTTGGAACATCATGTCACTTTCTTTGTGTGTTACCATGCCTTTCCTCCATTTGTCATCACCTTGTATTTTATATCAAACAAAATCTCCTATATTAAAGGTTCTATTGCGTGATAATGTTGTGTTAACTCTATCCTCTTTTTCCTGCAACGGTTTTAATAAGTCCCATTTAATTCTAATGTTTTGATTGAACATTCTTTTGGAAGGTGTAACTTTTGATGTATCATTTCCCGTGTTTCTATAATAGAAAAAAAAATTTGTCAAGTAGTATATAAGTCAATCTTTATATTTCTTTTCATGTGCGTCTTAAACGTTCTCACCATACGTTATGCGGACATAAGTACATTTTTAATACCATAATCGTTCAAAATTTTTTAAAATCATTACTTGTGAAGTTATTACCATTATCAGTAACTATAGTTTCAGGTATTCCGAATAGCGAAATGGCTTTAAAAAATTTTTTTAGTTGTAATATTTTTGACAGGAACAATAATTAGAAATTTGCTATAGGCATAGACTATTATCAACCAATTTTTTGAATAGCGGACCCGCGTAATCTATGTTTATCCTTTCAAATGGTTTGGTTGCGGAAACCCATGGTTTTTGTATTAGGATTGTCATGATATATATTACAGTCGTCTTACTTTTTACTATCATATCAAATTATGATAATATAAATTATGTGAAACATGATAAAAAACTAATAAAAATATAGATATTAATAAAAGTAATAAGTTAGATAAACCTTCACGCAACCATATTTTTGATAACACTTTTCCTAGATATAATTGTAGGAATGAGAATAATAATAATTATAACAGAACTAATGACAATTTTAGACAAAATTATGACAACGGATATAATAATAATTATAATAGTATAATAGTGATCAGAATAACAATCATATTAATAGAAAATTTAGAAACTATCACAATAACTACAATTATCAATCTAATAACAATAACTCAAATAACTACGGTAGAAATAACAAGTGGTGTAATAATAATCAGAGGAAACAGATTCAATACGATGATCAAAATCGCATTAATTACTGATTCTATATAACAACTCAAATAACTAAGGTGGAAACCGCACGTGGCATGATTACAACCAGAGAAAGCAAATACAATATATTGACCAGAATCGATATAACAATAACAATTGCAACATGAATATTGAAGATTGTTGAAGACAAAGTCGACACTGCCAAAGACAATAATGATAGTGATCTTAACGTCAACAACTTAACTGAGAACACGCATAATGATATGATAATATTAGTGCTTTTATGACTACTCTAAAATTAAATGATGTCACTACAATAATGCAAGTCGATACAGGATCAAAATTCTCTATCATACCTCATGATATAGCTAAGAAAGTTGGCATAACAGAAATTAAAAAATCCAACTTGCAACACAGCCTACGACAGAAACTTAATCAAGTCAGGACAACTCAAGTAAAAGTAGATTATAAAGGTATCACTTAAAATTTAATTTACAGCAGTGGTTGTTGAATGAAGAAAAAATCCATTATTGGGACGTTCATGGATTAACGTTTTCAAAAATATCATGAACAAATTTATAGCAAATATTGACACCAATTACGAAGATGAAATAAAAAACTGATTAAAAATTGTGAATCCAAAATGACCAACAGACTCATTAATAAAGCAAATGTCAAACTACATTTAATAAGAGATGCCCAACCTAAAATTATACCACCAAGACGTATACCCTATGCAAAGATTGATCTTGTAGTCAAAGAACTCAATAGATACAAGAAAAAATCATCGAGCAGGTAAAAGATGTTCGAAGGGCAAGTCCTATAACCGCCGTCCACAAAGATGATGGGAGCATTAGGCTTTGCGCAGATTTTAAAGACACTATAAATCCAGCTCTAGAAGTTTTTAAATATCCAACCTAAACTTTCGGAAGGGAAGAAATTTACCAAGATCGATTTTAAAAATGTGTCGACAGATCGATTGAGCAGAAATCTTTTGACAATATCCACACACAAGGGATACTATCAATTTACTAGACTTCCTTTTTGGCTAAAGACCTCATCTGCAATCTTTCAATAAATTATGGACCAGATGTTTGGTGATATGTAAGATGTCATATTTTATATTGATAATTTCTTAAAACTTGAAATAACGTGAAGCTCACTTAGACAACATCAAAAAAGGTGTTTGAAAGAATATTGTCATATGGGTTAGTACCTCATTTTGCCTAAAGCTTATTTTTAAAACAAAGTGAGATCCCTAGGTCATGATATTGACGCCAAGGGGATTCATGCTAACCTTGACAAAATTGTAGCAATAATAAATATGCCAGAACCAAAATCAGCTGCTGAATTATCAACACTTCTTTGTATGGCGGATTACTATAGAAAATTTTTTAAACAACTTTGCAGAAATTGCTGATCCTTTATACAAAATTGTCAACAAATAGGCATGGAACTTAGAACACTCTAGAAGTTTAAACGATCTAAAGACGTTGATTAGTTTTCCTCCAGCTTTGACTTATTTTAATCCTGAATTACCTATCGGAATTTCAACTGACGCATCTAAATGTGGTTTAGGAGCTGTATTATTTCATACTAAAAAAGACGGCAAAGAAAACCAATAGCTTTTGCTTCGAGCACCTTATTAAAATCCGAAATGAAATACACTAATATTGAGGGTGAGGCTCTCGCTATTATGTTTGCTATTAAGATATTCCAGGAATACTTAATCGGGACTAAATTTACAATAATTACTGACCATAAACCTCTAGTCCATATTTTTACCAAAGGACTTAAGGGTAACAGTACTATGTCCGTAATAATTCAAAAATGGAATATAACATTAGGAGGTTATGATTTTAACATAAAGTATAAAGACGGAAAATATAACGATGTTCCTGATTGTCTTTCAAGATTAACACAAGAAAGTAACAATGAAGTTGTTGAAAATATCACAATTACGAACCACTTTGGGGATATACCTATTAACTTTAATAAAATACGTGACGAAATTTACAAAGATATTGAAATAACACAAGTCATCAATGATATTAAGAACAACGAGCCTATAAGAATTAAGATTTAAAAACATTGAATTAGAATTAAGTATAATATAAGATTGTCTTTACAAAAACAACAAATTCCGTCTAGTATTAGAAAAATCGTACTGCAGGCATTACATCAAGGTGATTTGGGAGCAGGAAAAATCAGATCCTTAGCCAAAGATCATATGTGGTGTCTGGTATGAATAATGACATAGAGATGGAAGTAAAAAGTTGTGACGACTGTAATATATATCATGACAATCCTAATACAAAACCCATGGGTTTCGGCACAAACCATTTGAAAGGATAAATATAGATTACGCGGGTCCTTTTTTCACAAAAAATTGATTGACAAAAGTCTATGCCTTTAGCAAATTTCCATTTATTGTTCCTGTCAAAAATATTACAAACGAAATCCCATTAAAAAAATTTTTTAAAGCCATTTCGCTATTCGGAATGACTGAAACTAGAGAACGTTTAAGACGCACATGAAAAGAAAAGATTGACTTAGATACTTCACTTGACAAATTTTTATTCAATTATAGAAACACCGGAAATGATACATCAGGAGTTACACCTTCCAAAAGAATGTTCAATCGCTACATTAGAATTAAATGGGACTTATTAAAACCGTTGCAGGAAAGAGGATAGAGTTAACACAACATTATGACGCAATAGAACCTTTAATATCGGAGATTTTGTTTAGTACAAAATACAAGGTGATGACAAATGGTGGAAAGGCATGGTAGCACACAAAGAAAGTGGCATGATGTTTCAAGTTAAGACAGATAAAGTTATATTAAGGAGGCATTCAGACCAAATAAGAAAAGGAGATTGTTATAATACATTTTTAAATTATGAGTCTAACTCTAAAAATTCTTTTAAGGAGGGAAGGGTGGACATAAATAAAAAATACCATAAATAAAGATAGATTTCTAGGCCAACACGTATTAAACAAAAACCTGCTTATTTAAAAGATTATATAACTTAATATATAAAAAAAGATATAAAATAAATATTGGACACTAAAAAACGCGAAAAATAAATTAAATGTTAAAAATATTATATAATAATCATTGATTTGTCATTCCAATATTCGATTATTCAAATTAATTCTATTCTATATATTATTCCAAATTCATATATTTTTCCGATAATTCACTTATTCTAATATCCAATTTCATCAATTATTATTCCTAATTATTCAAGACTTATTGATGATGATAACAATTTTGAAAATTGTTAATAATAACAACCGAATACCACAAGCAAGCTTATATGACAAAGTTAATGATGATGATAACTTATGATAGGATAATAAATACGATTTGGACAAACCAACGTGTGAATTCGAATGCGATAAATACAAGCCAACGATAACAATGACTGATGCAACAACATGAACAGCGAAAACGATGTCAACAAGCTCTCGACGACAGCTTACATGAAATTATGGGAAAGCTTCTTAGATGAGGGAGAATGTTGAATAGTTAATATTAAAAAACTCATTGTATATTCATATTAGCTTATTTTTAATTTTGTGTATAGTTTATTTTATATTTTATTATGGCTATTCAAAATTGAATGGATCTAATTTATTTTGATAAAACCATCATATTTTTACATTTGAATCTCTTCTAATTCTACATAAATCAGAGACCTGAAGGCCTGCCCTTGAGTGGGCCCTAAACAGTTTGATTAGATGGGAATCATGTATTGAATCATTTAATGCTCATATTTTCAATTTCCATTAGAAACAATTTGCAAAATACATACAACAAATTATTTAAAATAACGAAAATAAAATTCTGGAGAGGGCCATAAAATGATCATAAAATAAAATTTTTTAGCCGGGATCAAAGTTTATATATATCTACAGGTCTAATTCTAATTTGTGGCTATTTTATCGTTCAAGATGATTGTTCGTTATCATCTATTCGTTGGGATTCATCTTTTTAAATCTTCTTTACTTAATTTATTATAAACAAGACTTAGAAACGACAATATCTTGTTGCGGACATTTCGGAGATGAGAATATTCACGCTACCTGCTCCAGTTTCTCCAAAAATGAATTCACTATGCAAACAGCTGCCTCAAATAATTTGCTCCAACTACTTTCTAATGTGGTTTATCGCGAATTCCCTGCCATAAATAAAATAAATTATAGCATTAGCGCGGAACATGGAATAGGTTTGCTCAAGGCCTCTCATTTCGCCAGCCAATCAAACAAAAATATGGCACTTTCATCCATCAAAAGTCTTTTTGATGAGTCGGGGATCTTGAACCCTTACAAAATTTTCTTATGAAACATGAAATACTTTATAGTAGGGCTGCACCGATATTACATTACCGATAAGATCTGCTCCGATAGCGGATTTGTATTTGGCTATATAAATGAAAATTCTGATCATCATTCAAAAAAAATAATATGGAACTATATGTATTATTATTCTTTAATGGCTAATAACTTAATAAATAAAACATTATTAAATACAAACCTTTGTTTACAAATTTATTTACATAAGATATATTTTTATAATTTTAATTCTGAAACTCTTTTTTTTATTTTAAGAGTCGGGATAAGTAAATATTCCGAATAAAATGTTTAAATTTATATACAGATTTTTATTATTTTATTAACTTATATTATATAAATTAATGACAAAAAAAAATTAATATAAAATCGGTTTCGGGGCTGTTAGGATAAATATCGGAACGGATCGGTGAAAAAATTATGGATCGATGCAGCCCTAACTTATGACAATTAAAAATATTTTATAATCAAGTATATATAGTTATATAATAGTTACTTTATATTTTTTTAGACAATATTTATTACTTATATTTATGATTATACAATTTTATATTATGATATGAATTGTAATATAAAAGAACACTTTTAAATATTTTTAAATTTTTATCAAATTATTATCATGATAAAAAATAAAATTTAATTATTTTGTACATAATATCTATTATATTCGTAAATTTAAACAAATATTTTGAGAAATATATTTAATAGAATGAATAGATATTCAAAATTATTGGAACTGATCATAAAGCTATAAAATTTATAACCTACATTATTTATAAGAATCCATGATCTCTGTCAATAAAAATCTCGGATATAGTGTACCCCAAGAACTTATTAAAAATGGTCCTCTAGGTATGAATATAAATAAATAACCTGTTTTATTGAATGAATTTTTTAAAGAACTACATATATTTTTCTTCCTGATCAAATAGAATAATATAATATATCTTATTTAGTCGCGTTTCTTTTCCTACTAAAATAATTAAGGTAAAAATATGAATCTTTCTGAAATATGACATCATCCATTAAATAATGGTTAGGAACTGAGAACATTTAAATTTAAATGCTTTTATAATATTCTGTACATTTTTTTTTACATTATGGTTAGCAAACAATTTTTATAATTGACTGTTTGTTTTAAAGGTATTATATTGTTTTTTGAAACTTCATATAAGCACTTTTTAATTTCTGTTATTGTTTATTCTTATATGTTGATTACCATATTTTAAATTAAATAGATTTAGCCGATAAATTTTCAAACTTTTATTGTCTTATTGAAAACTCGGGTTGTTCTGAATTGTATAATAAAGAAATCTTGGAAAAATTTTGCCATCATTTACACAATATCCTCAAACCCGCTATTTCAAACGATAAAACCATGAAAGTATAATTTTTTTTAATAATAATAATCTTATTACATTTAGTTAAGTTTTAGTAGAGGCATACAGAATACAGACACCGCCATTTGTTTAGATCTGATATCGCCGATACTAAATTGAAACTTATTTCAACTAATCCAATATTATCTATTTAATGAAAAATAATAATTAATTACCGTGTATTTATCTTAAATTTATATGATCTAATATTAGCATTGTATCGTAAATAGATAATTTGTTTAATATCCACCATTTTAATGCTAATGATATCTTACGATACCGATATTTATAATACATTTTTATAGTTTATTTTTTTCACGGAAATTATGGCAAAGAAAAAATTATCTAAAATATTTTTTTTGAGATTGTTATCGCTCAAAATTTAGGCCAAGCCAGGATGTTATGGAAATTGAGGGAATCTATCACCTTGTCCTTAGTCTCCGACGGCTACGTTTATAAATACGACATCTCTCTGCCTCTCACCGATTTCTACAAATTAATCAAGGACATAAGAGCAAAGCTTCTACCTTTAGGTTAATTTTAAACTTATAGAGGTTATAAATATTCTTCCCCCCTTCCCATTTACTTATTTTTCTCTATCTCAAAAAATTTTTTATGTTTTAGTAACATAAATAATATAAATTTTTTAAATTTCAGGGAATAAAATCATTAGAGTAGTTGGTTATGGACATGTAGGCGACGGTAACTTACACCTCAACGTCACTTCTAAAAAATTTTACCGTGAAGTATTGAACGAGATTCAACCCTATATTTATCAAAAAGTTACTGAATCATTGCAACACGAGAACAAAATAAAAAGATCCAATTGTTCTTTTGAATATAATTTAAATTCCACTAGAGGCAGCATTAGTGCCGAACACGGTTTAGGTTTGGTAAAGAAAGAATTTTCCTATTTGGGAAAATCTGCGGTCTATTGGAGGTGCGCTCAAAAGTTAAAGAATCTTTTCGATCCCATTTTTATATTAAATCCTTACAAAATGTTGAACACCGATCATTATAATTCTTAATTTACTAATATAAAAAAAACCTTTTTATATGATTGTCTTTATGGAGTTTATTGTATTTTTTTATGACAGTGTTAACATTGCATACATTAATATCTTTAAAAATAGTTATATATTCCTTATAATCTGAATAGTATTGAAATCTATGATGTGGCTGGTGAGGGGCAAAAAACTCAGAACGCCTCAGTTTAATTTGATTAAAATGTTATTTTAAAAACAGGCCTTATTTAAAAAGAACATTTGGTACACTTTAATAATAAAAACTAACCAGACCATTAAGCAGTTTTGAGGATTTTTTTTTAGAATATGTTACAATGGCATTGTCTCAATTTTATAACATATATAATAAATACCCCAATAATGTAAATATAAAAATACTTTTAAAACATAATTTTTTTATATAATTTTTTAAATGCAATACAATTTAGTACTTTTTATCTGTTATTATATAAGATTCCTTAGATAGAGAATTCATTTCTATTAATTTTAAATATCATAATTTAAGTCAAAATAGTAAAAATAAGCGATTTTATATGAGCAGAACACTACCAAAAAAAACCTCTTGAACTTTTTACCTATTATACGGAAGACATATCCTCTATGGTAATCAGTATTAGCCAATTATTTTTTATCATATCTATAATATTATGGACATTTTTATTGGAAATATCACTTGTTATATCTTACCAATATCTGACGAATCGGTATAATCTAGTAATAAAGTTCTTTATGAAAGACCATAACAATAACTTTTAGTTTAGGGGTGGGGGGGGGGAACATTTTAAAAAAAAAGACATATTTCGACCATATTATTTCAGTTATATTTTTCCATACGTTATTAATACTAGATTTGTAATCTTCAAACCCAAAATCGTGTATAATGAATAAGCAGTATGAATTTAGGGTGAGTATTTCACCCGTCAAATATGGTCAAATTCAATCAAATGTTTTTATGACAATATTCATCATATATAATAACAAATATACAAAATATATTCATAAATAAATGCATATTGGTTATTTTTATTCATTCGGCTTTTCTATGGCAGAGTCGTTTTATGGTTCAATTGAATTTTTATTTTATGTTTTTAATTAATCGTAAATTATGACAAACCCTATAAATCTCCCCCAAAATTTTTAATTAATTTCGGTTCCTTTTGTCAATATTACCCCAGACGAACCAATTTCTTTCTGAAGAAGTTGAATCTGGAAGGGTATAAGATATTTGCTACTTCTCTTAAAGAGTAAGGTGGATAAAGTCCCTTCCACCGGACAGATGTCAAAATCTGATTAATGATTATAGATTCTATTGCATACCAGATATTTGATTATAAAAGATATCACCTTTACAGCGAAGATTTATTATACCCACCTAAGATGTCTTGATTTTCAACACCTTTTATAACTCCTAGTTCTTTTAATATACCACAAGTTTCTTTGATATCATTAATCGCGAGATATTTTCCTTGATATTGGAGTTTTATTAAGTAGGTAACATTATATGTTATGTGAATCGTTTTTTGTGTTAAATTGTGAATTCATTCATTTATTTTTGGTGATGAATATTTGATTTTGATTATCTCGCGTACATTCTTATATATTATTATTATTATATTTGTAAAAGAAGTAAAAAAGAGTAATTATAAAAAATTGCTTATGTCATATGCTTTTAAATTAATTATATTATTAAATTTATATTTATTAGATATAAAAAGAGGAAAAAACGAAATAAATCATTATTTTTCTTCCAAATTTTATTTTTTTAACTCTTTTTTGAGTATATTATTCCGTTTTCTTTGATTTTGTTTCACAAAACTTTTAGGAAATATAAAAAAAAGAACACATATAAAAATAGGGGGGGGGGGGTAAAAGGAATAAACAACGAAAAAGTAAACAAAGGTAAAAACTATCATTACATTTATTTAAACTTTATTAAAAATTAGTCGTGTTTAAGCAGTTGTATTTAGATCATTTTTTCTTATTACAAACATATTTATGATTTTTTTATTCTAATGGAATTAGGTCTTAGCACGATTGAAGAATATGTTGTTCTAAAGATAACATCTCATTCTTGGATAAAATGCATTTGTCCCCTTGTATTCTAAACAATGACATACCTAGAAATTTAAGTATATTTAAAAACTTTAACTTTTTTCCCCAAAATTGTTCTTCATCTAAGACATTATCATTATAAGCTCCCTACATTCTAGACTAACTCAGAATTGTAAAAATATATCTTAAATCTATGGTCGTAAATATTTTACCATGTCGACGAAGGTTGGTAGTAAATTGCTATCTATCTAAATATTTGTTGATTGTTAAAAGAAAATTCTTCATATCCGCACGGCACCAAAATATTAACCTTTGGCGTAGCCCAAGTGAGGAGTTGTTGGATCTACCTTTTCGATATTCGTCTAACTGTTCAACTCAGCTTCAATAGTTTGACGCAGCGGAAATAGAACTTTTCTTGCTGGTAATAACGGTAATGCGTTCGGTTGTCTCCTAATTTTTTTATGAGGAAATTTCGGGGCAATAATATTTAAAGTTGAAACTTTCATAATATTATTTATCCGAACTTTTTCCGGAAATTTTATATCGAATTCTCTAAGGAAAGACATTTCAAAAATAAAGAAATTCTCTCCATTAACTATATCCATATAGGTAAAAATTTCTAAATGTTTTTACTTCGACTTTCACTGTACATTTACCCAACATTTAGATTTTGATATTGTTATACCCCACTAGTTTATAAGTAGGTGATAATTGGTTTGCAAATACGCCTCCAGGCAACTTCATCTATCACACTGCACGTAGCTCCTATATCAAATTCCATAGTAAACCGCAAATCATTTATCTTCGCATCAATTGTAGCTTATTAGGAAACGAAAGGCGAGGTTTCCGAGGTAGAATCATCTGTATGGCATGAGTTCTACAATCTTTTGCAATGTGGTCTGCCTTGCCACATCGAAAGCAGATGACTTTTTTTAAATAATTAATGTTAGGTTTATAACTAGATTTATAATAATTAGAAATATAATTATGGTGGAATTTATTGGCATTATAACTATTTTTATTCAATTTATTATTGTTAATATAACTATTATTTCTAAAATACATCTTTTTGGAACCTTGTTTCTGCTTATGTTTTATGATTTTCTCAGCTTCTACCTGAGTTTCCTTTTCCAGGGAGAAAGCGCGATCGCTAAACTCACGGTATCTTCAAAAGTTTTAGATATTGCCTTCGGTATACTTTAACTGAAGCTCTTTATCCAACTCGAGCAGCCTTACTCCTAAGATTAAAATATCTCTTAAAGGTTCATCAACAGGCGATTTAAAATTGCATAGTAAGCAAATACTTTTTAATTTGATCGAAAATTCTATAATAGTTTCTCCGCCTCTTTTTAAGTTATGAAAATTTTTTCGATGTAGGAAAATAATGGCGATATCCTTTATTTTTTCCAAACTCTCAAGTAAAGTTATGTAATTAATGCTCTAAATTCGGATAATGAAAGATTATAATATTTATTAAATTTTCCATGCCTTTAAATTTTTTAAATTATAATCGATAATATTTAGGACTTTAAAGATGAGTTCTAAATTATATACAATGTTAACTTTCGATTTATAGAATTCCGGAATATGAAAATTTTTAATTGAGAATTGTAATGTATTTAAATTAATTAATTTTTATATTTGAGAAATAAATCACTTTATATTATTATTCTGAATATATTTCATTTGGCGACGATTTATTTTCAAGTCATTTTTCACGACGACGAATTATTTTAAATAAAAAGATTAAAATTATACCATGCCTCTGAAGAAAATTGAAGAACCTACTCAATTATATTCGTGAATTCATAAAAGAAAAAGTTTATATTTTGGATTATATATAATATAAAACTCTTTTTTAAAGTAAAAAATAGTGTTGATCAAAATAAAAAAATAAATTTATTATTAGCCTATATAGGCACTGATAATTTAATAAAATTAAAATTTTTTACTTTCCTAATAATTTAGATAACATAAATTATCCAATTTTACTTGAGAATTTAGAAAAAATATTTAAAGATTTTTCGAGTATTTTTCTACATAGAAATAACTTTTATACTTTAAAAAGAGGCAATGAAACTATTATCGATTTTTCAATTAAATTAAAAAGCATTTGCTCTATGTAATTTTAAATCGCCGGTTGATAAAATCTTAAAAGATATTTTCATCTATGAGTAGGGTTATCTGAGCTGGACAAAAACTTCGGTCAAAATATGCCGAAGGAAATATTATGAAAATACTGTGCGTCTAGCTATATCGCTGTCTTCATTGGAGAAGGAAACGCTGGCAGAAGTTAATAAAATAAATAAAGATAAGCCTATGCTAGGTTCCAATACTTATTTTAGGAATAATTATAATAACGTAAACAAATTCAATAATAATTATAATGCTAACAAATTCAACCATAATTTTTATAAACACCTAATTTCAGCAGTTATATGTTTTAGGTGCGGAAAAGCAAACCACATACCGAAAGAGTGTAGAACGCATGCTATACAAATGATTTTACCACGGACACCTCGCCTGTCTTTTGCTAATAAAACCACAAGATGCGAAGATAAATGGGCTGCAGCTTACTATGGAATTTGATACTGGCGCGGCGTGTAGTGTGATTGATGATGTTACCTGGAGTCGCATAGGCAAACCACCACTATCACCTGCTTATAAACTAGTAGGATATAACCATATCAAAATCGAAGTATTGGGTAAATGTTTAGTGGAAGTCGAAGTAAAGAATATTTTAAAATTTTTACCTATTTGGGTAGTTAAGGGTGAAAGTTCCCTTATTTTTGGAATGCCCTTTCTTAAAGAATTCGATATAAAACTTCCTGAAGAAGTTCGAATTAATATAAATATGAAAGATTCCAGTTTAAATACTATTGTTTCAAAATTTCCGTAAGTTTAAAAAAAAAATTAGGACAAATAATATTATAGGAAGCCGTCATCAAGATACAACCAAATACAGTGCCAATTGCGCTGCCGTCTAGAAGAATTCCATTTCCGTTGCGTCGAACCGTTGAAGTTGAGTTGGACATTCTTTTAGAGGAGGGCGTTATCAAGAAGGTGGGTCCAACAAAGACTTCAATTACTTGGGCTACGCCAACGGTTAATATTTTAAAGAAATCCGGTGCCGTGCGGATATGCGGAGATTTTCGTTTAACAATCAACAAATATTTAGCCTTAGATAACGATTTACTACCAACTTTCGTCGACCTGACGAATAAGATCGCGGGTGAGAAATATTTTCAGCGATAGATTTAAGAG